AAGCCTCCAACATGCGTCCCAAGAGGGCCCCTAGACGCAAAATTGGCCCATTCCCTTCGTAAAACGTACATTTTCAACAAAGTTGCCTTTTGGGCTTTCCGACGTTACAGGACGGCCCAAGAGGCGCCCAAGACCGCCCCAAGACGGCCCAAGAAGCTTCCAAGAGGGCCCCAGGACAGCCCAAGAGGGCCCCAAGACGGCCCAAGAGGCGCCCAAGATGGCCCAAGAGGGCCCCAAGACGGGCCCAAGAGGGGGCCCAGAGGGGGACCACGAACCGCAAGCTCGAGCCTTCCGCCCCAAGAGGCCGCCAGGAGGCCCCAAGGAGGCCCCTCAAGAGGCCCCAGGAGACCCCCAAGAGGCCCAAAGGAGGCCCCGAGAAGCCCCAAATCGGCCCCCAAAATGCTTCGAACCTGCTTCCAGGAGGCCCCCGACAGGTTCAGAGGCTCCCGAGAAGCTACGTCAAACTCCCAGCGAGCGGCCGGACGAGGCCCCCCAAAAAATCCCAAGAGGGTTCCAGTATTTGTATCCTTCAGCGCTCTCTGGCCTTCTTCCCCCTGCCCCCTTCCCTGCGACTTTCGTTGACTCAAGCTCGCCTCCTCTCCATTTCCTCTCTCTGCTCTCTCTCTCTCTGTCTTCTTCTCTCTCTCTCTCTCTCCATCTCTCTCTCTCTCTCTCCTTCGCTCTCTGTCTGTCTGTCTCTCTCTCTCTCTCTCCCTCTCTTTCTCTCTCTTTCTCTTTCTTCCTTTCAGATTCCGTGTCCTTGCGACCTTCTGCAGTCCCCGACGTCGCCACGGCTGGATCCGCTCGAGCGTGTCTTGTGATGTGCGGCGGTGCGAAGCCCGTCCCATTGATCAAGGCACAGGTACGAAATGATGGGTCCATCATTTCTTGCCTTGCCATGTGCGTTTTCCCAATCGATTCCTGGGCCCGAGGTCGCAAAAATTACGACGTCGGAGGTCTGGGGAGGCGGGAAGCACGACCTGGACCTCCGACGTCTTAGAAGAATCACGACGGCGGTTTCGGTCAATTTTCGGCCTCCAGGGCCCCTCGCAGGGTCCCAGGACCGTCAGAAAACGAATCAGGATGAAAAAACACACATCCCCAGGAAGTCGTCGAGAGGTCCAGGGGCCGCGCACAGAAAGCATCACGACATCGGACGTCCAGAGAGGAGGTAGGAACACGAGGAGGAGGGAGCCCATACCTCCTGGCGACGCAGCACCAAATACAACAAAAGCTTCCCCGCGACTTCCCCCAGAGACTAACTACAGAAACTCCTTTCGTATTCCGGCCAGAAGCATCCAGAAACGATGTACATTAGCCCTGGCGGGGGGAATGATGGCGATGGTGATGTTCATGATGACGACGGTGACGATCCTAGCTAGAACCTAAGCGCGCGCGAAGCGCGCGCGTGGTTCTAGTATATATGTACGCATGCATGTATGTATGTATGTATGAAAGAATGAACGAATGAATGTATATGCCCTTTAGCTCTCGGGAGGCGGCAGAGACAGGTAGGGGAGAGGCGGGGGCCTCAAGCGCAGCTGGCTGGCTCTGGCAGCTGCGCGGGTGCAAGCGCCATGGCCTGGGCCCCAGGCGGCCTGGCCTTCGCGCGCGTGGCGGGCGGAGAGGCCGGCCGACGGCAGGCGATCAACGTGGGGGGCTTCGTGGTGGAGGTCCACGAGGCCCACATCTCCCTGGCGATCCCCGCGGTCGCAGCCCGAGCAGTGGGTGGCGCCGCCTACGAGGCGGCGGTGAGAGACCGTGCGGGCGACGAGGTGCAGGTGGGGTTCGTGGTCGTGCCCCAGCGTCGGCTTCGCGACGCAGCGCCGGAGGGATGGGGGGACGACTACATGCACTTCGGCGAGAGGAGGTTCGAGCTCGAGGCGCTCCAGGCCGGGCTGGTGGCGGCAGGCGGCGGCATCCACACGTCCACCGAGGACGCGGAGGTGCCGAGGCCGCCGCCGACGGAGACGCTGCCGCAGGGCGCTCCGGGAGGCGGGGCGGCCGCGGCGGCGCTGGGGCAGCGGGCGCTGCTCCGCGCGGCCGGAGCGGGCGCGGGCCTCCCGGGCCTGGAGCGGCTCGTCGCGCGGGCAGCGAGGCGGCTGCAGTCGGCGGCCCCCGCCGACGAGGAGGACAGCTCGTCGGAGTCGGAGGCCGAGGCCGACCCGCGCGACGGGCGCGCGGCGCCGTCGGCCGGGCAGGCGCCACGAGCCGCGGGAGGCCGGAGCGAGCGGCGGCGCCTCCTGTCGAGCAGCGACGAGGAGGCCCCGCCCCGCGCGCCCGCGGGGCAGCAGGCAGGCTCCAGCGGCGGCGGCGCGACGGCGGCGGCGGCCAGCCTCGACCCGAACGGGTTGCAGAGCTTGCTGCAGCTTCGGATGCTCGAGGTCTTGGAGCGGCCCGAGACGGGCAAGAAGCAGAGCTCGTCGGGCGACGAGGACGAGGCGATCGGTGGATTGGGCAGCGTCGGGAAGGCAGGCAAGGCCGTGCGGGGCATGAGACGCCTCCGGCGGCGGGTGAAGCGCCACCCTCTTCGAGTGGTGCGCGCGTTCAGGGCCGAGGTCAAGCGGGCGCTCGGCGTGCAGCACGGCATGGCCTGGACGTACTTGGACTACGGGAAGAGGCACATCCCGTGGGGCAAGCTGTACGACCTGAAGAAGACGTACGCGATGCTGGTCGCGGTCCTAGAGTACATGGACAACGAGAAGTTCGACGAGGCGCACGGGCAGCTGGTGCAGATCATGAAGGCCCTGGAGCAGGTGGCGATCAACCAGGGCTCGTGGAAGGCGGCGTGGCCGCTGTCGGGCCTGGTCGACCCCTACAGCCGCCGGGGCTTCGCAGGGGGCGAGTTCGAGACGGAGGTGGTGGCGGCCTACATCACGGAGCTGGAGGCCTTGGAGTCCAAGGTGAAGCAGCGCGGCGGGCTGGTGGCCACCCCGGAGGAGTCGGACGCCCAGGGAGCCGACGCGGGAGCGGGGGCCAACGACAAGGGCCCGAAGAGCAAGTACAAGAAGAAGCCCAAGAAGGAGGGGGCCTGAGCGGGCCGCCACCTTTGAGGGCAGGTGCGTGTCTGGGGAGATGGGGCTTCTGGCGCTGCGGCCAGTTCCTCAGAGGCACGCCGTTTGGGAGGTTTTGGCATTGGCACCGCAATGCGACACACAAGTGCGAATCTAACCTGGACAGTGGGCTGTCCAGCTCAGCAGATCCTGAGAGGCTTTTCCCCATGCCGCTGCCGTTCGTGGAGGTGGCGGTGCGCGCGTCGAGGGAGCAGGCGGACCCCGTTGGTCGGAAGCAGTTGCGGATGACCGAGAGGGCCCAGCATCTCACGAACGTGCTCGTCTCAATGTTCTCCTACTGGGAGTGCGGCTGCCCGAAGGCAGCGGCAGCCTGCCCTGACCTCCGCTGGTCTCCTGCACGACGGGTGGCGGCGGAGAACCTCTTTCAGGATGTGTTCGAGTTTTGCCGTGCTGCTGGACGTGACGCTCACGCAGCACGAGGACTGGGGAGGCTACAGAAGTTGGCTTCCGAATTAGCATCTCTACCCGGTGAGGCGTACGAGCGGCAGCAGCGCCCAGATACCGAACCTGGTTGGGATATGCAAGCAGGACAGCTGTCGGCGGACACACTGGCGCGTGCGTTGGAGGTCCAGCCCGACCGTGTGAAGTTGAAGACCCCTGGGCCAGGCTGCGATCCTGCTGACCACCTGACGGGCAAGCAGCTCGCGGAGTACGTCAGCTACATGGACCGCTGCTTGGCTCCCGAGGCCTGGCCGGCGCCCTTGCCGAGGAGGTGCCACCGCATCTCGAAGGATAACGAGCTGAAGCTGGTGAAGGACCTCCTGGGGCGCGGGATGGGGACCCTCGTCCCGGCCTGCGACGTGCCGCGCGACAAGGCTGGGTGCCCTCTGGCGTCGGGCTGGTTCGCGGTCGAGCACAGCGAGAAGTGGGACCGTCTGATTCAAGATAGGCGTCCTCAGAATGCGACTGAGGAGCGCCTCGCCTGGCTGCAGCTGCCGTCGGGAGAGCAGCTGAAGTTGCTGAGGTTGAACTCGCCGTCGGAGCACGTCAGGGGGGCCGTGTGCGACCTGAAGACCTACTTCTACCAGGTGAAGCGGCCGCAGGGCACGGAGTCGCGGAACGTAGTCGGGCGGGCCTGGCAGGGCCGACAGCTGGGGAAGCTGGCCCCGGACCCGAACCAGCACTACTTCGTGGCGCTGACCGTCTGGGGCATGGGCGACGCCAACTCGTGCGACGTCTGCCAG